TCCCCCAAAGACTATCCAAGACAAGGCTTCCCTTTATGTACTCTCCTGGGCCTGCATGATTCAAAATTCACCCAAACAATACAGAAAAGTTTGTTTTAATTAGATCTAAAAATATAATATAGAATAAATCAAATGGCAGACAATCACAGGGCAGGCTATTTAAAGATGCACCACAGAGAATGTGAGTCAATGTGGATGAATGAGTTTAAAATACACTGGGTAGCCCTATTTCAGTCATCAATCCAGGGGCCTGCATGTGGCCTGATTCAAACAGCAGAGCTGCTGCCTCACAAAGTGGAAGCCCTCATGCAGCAAACAAGGGAATTGTATCTGACTGTACACATTCATCTAGACTAATGGCATGGTGATGCATCCAGGGGGATACACAAGCTCATGTTCTTTGTTCCAGATCATTTGACTCCTTCTAACTTTCACTTGGTCCTGTCACAAGTGGAATTGTGAGTGATCTGTTTAATCTCTTCAAATATGATTAGGCAAAACACATCTCAAGATAATATCCTACAGCCCTCTGATTCAGCAGCGATACAGATGAGGCATGAATGTTGCAGCTATAAGTCAAAAGGGGCAACAGAAGGCTCAGCTGCGCTCCACCTGTATTAGCTTTAGAGGAAAATGCGCTGTTTGAACATATATAAATGTAAGAAAACATTTATTTTCCAGGAGTGTCCCTGCAATGCTAGTTTGCATCATCATGAGATTTTTTTTCTGCAATTACTCCCTTTTCCAAGGTAGCAGCTGTGTTGTAAACATGCAGTTATTTTACCCAATTCTCTGTTAGAATGAGCTGTCAATCAAAGACAAAACCATTTACATAAACAATGCAATGCCAGGCCTCTAAGGGCAAAGATAACAGACTCCCAACACAAAGTTCTGAAAAAGAAAAGGAGGATATTGAAAAACTGTGAATTTCATCTTCTACTGTCTGCTCTTCTCATCTTTGGGTGCAGAGCAACAATTACAAGTAAACTCTTCCAAAATATGTTTTCTGTTGCCTGACAGGCACTATGAAATATACTGCAATATTAAGAAAAAAATCCAAACAACTAATTTAGATAGATTTGTTTCCAGTTGGGAATGTTGTGATAGATTATCAGTAAATACAGTATTGACTCAAGCTTTGGAAGAATCATTGGGTTACATTACAGTGCCACTAACACCCATTAAAACTAATTAAAAACATGATCCAGAGGACAAACATTTCTTCATCACTTTGTTCTTTGAAATCCTTTTATCCTTTTACTTCTTCAGCAAATCACTTTTACATGCTCGGGTAGTGAAAACAAGTGGAATTACTGTTTTCCTGCATAAAACGTACTGTTAATCCAAAAGAAGGACCACTATTTGTGTCAGGGTTGGCGGGCTTTTCATGCACAGTCTTGCTAAGGCTCCTCCAGTTGTCACTAATCTACAGCAGAACTGTGGGATGAAAAGGAAAAAAATAACAGCCTGATCCAAGTTACTGTAAAAAAAAATAAAAAATAAAAACTGAACTTGTCTACCAGAGTCTCTATGTTGACACTAGCAAAGTCAAATAAAAAATAATAAAAAAGACAAATCTATTTAATTGTGCAGGTCTAGAAATACAACTGCAAGGACTATTAGCTCAAGAATTAATGTTCAAGATTGCAATATCAGAATTGTACTGTACACCTAATATGTTTAAGAGCAATAATGTTTTTTTAAGATATCAATTCATCCCTGAAGGATTTTGTCAGAGACTTCTGTTCTGCTATGATAAGAGCTTATTGTGAGCTGGGGGACTAATATGGACTCTGCCTACAGGGTACAGTGGGGATCAGTTTCTTCAGTTTAGTAAGACTTACAAGGCCTCCTCAGAGGTCATGCTGTGATTGTTACATTGCCCAGGGTATGGTTCTCACATTTCAAGGGTAAAGAGAAAATCCATTTTCCAACTCACTATTTACGATTGCACTTGCACACGAGTGTCCCCCCCTTCGATATCCAATTACTAAATTATGATGGATTCTTAGTATTATTTTCTGCAAGGCATTACTCAAGACAGTCTATCTCAATTTACATAGCTTAACGAAGCACTGAGCATTTAATAACGGGAAGGAGTGTGATAGTGGGAGCTGATGTTTATTTGAACTGGCTGGGCTTTTGGTGGTAATGATTATGAAGTGAGCATTGGGAACCGTCTCTGCAAGAGGAGAGGGGGAGTGAGGCGTTGTGTGAAGCAGGCAGATGGTTGGTCGGACAGTGTGTAGATAATGGCAGCATTGGTCTGCTGGGAAGCAACATTATGCTCAAGGTCAATGGGAGCTGAAGAATGGAGGATCATAATGAATCAGACCCGTGTCCTGGAACGAGATCTCCCTTTAAGGATATCGAGATATTTCACATGAGCCCAGTAATGTGCACACAGCTATTATATCCATTCTCAAATTTCCACAACTAAATTTGTATCACTGAAGCACTGATAATGGGCCTTAAAAGGTGCTTTTATTTTTCTATAGTGGCAGAGTTTACTGTACATTCAGTATCCAGATTACTACTAATTATAAGATACTATAACCAACATTTGCTTTAGTCAAATGAAAGTTTGATAAGGTGTAATTTTTATAATGCTTATATACAGGCCATTACGCTTTATGTCCATGCATTGTGCCTCGTGGATATAATGCACATTTGCGCACCATGTTTTTGGAATGGTTGCAACTTCCCATATGTTGCTAGTATTTTCATAAGCACACTACTACACAATTTTGTATAGACTGTATTTTTATGCATACTAATCCTCATCTATATACTGTATATTTATCTTGCAGTAATCTTTTTTTTTTAATAGTAATTAAGAATTTATACATTAGTGATGCATAGTCTTCTTTATTTCACACCATTACAAAGGCAATATCTGTATGTATTTTAACTCCACACTAGTTTCCACTCTGTCTCACTGGTCATCTATTCATTTATTCCACTTGTCCTTTTTCCTGTTAAATGCTTTTACTTTTTGCTTTATAATTTTCCCACAGGGGATCTTAAGTAATACTATTTCACTACCATTTAAAGCAGTCAGCTGCATCCTAACATCCTTGACCATAATGTCAAATCCCAAAGTAGTTTGCCTCCTGCTTTCCTAACCCAGTCTACTTACTCTCTCATGTTTGTTAAAAGAAGGGCAACCGCAGCCTGCTGGATTGACATCTGCGGATAGTTCCATGAATGCACCAAGTATATCGAACTCAGCTCCAGTGCGACAGGGAGAAATTTGGGGAGACTTAAGTCTTCCTTTTGTCCATCTGTGTTAATGCACAAATAATGAGCGGAGTTGAGCGCCTCGGGCAATCTTCCTGAGGAGCTTCATGTTTTTTTTAATCCTTCAACACTTTGCACATGTGGTCATAAAACTGGCTATCAGCATATGCCTCCTTTTTTATAAATGTAGATATGCAGACTGATAGTGACTGTTGGTAATAGTGCTCTAATTACTCGAGTGTATTTCAAAGTACAAACCTAGTCACACCAAAATGGCAGTTTTCAAGTTGTTCATATTTTAATCCGCACTTTGTCTCACTCTTTTTTCTTTTTTTTTTACAGTGGCATAGTTGAAAAATGAATATTCAATACTGAGAAAAAAGCAAACCTCACACATCCCCCATAAAAAGCAAATTAATTACAGCGATTAAAACTTTGTACAAAATGAGTTATTTATAGCATCTTATTGAACTAACAAAATAACATGTATGAGCATTGGCAATGTGGTTCAATGTCTTTGATACAGTGACTATATACAGTGAGGGGATGTCTGATTCACCAATGCCTCAACATGTCATTAGTACTGTTTGCAGCAAACTCAAAGGCCATAACGGTGATCCTTGTATTGTTTTTATGGTAAGTTACAGAATTAAAAAATGGAAAAGTTAATGTCAGACAACTACTTTAGTAATAACAGCAATAATATCAATCAATATACTATTATATAATAAATGTCAATCAATCATAATAATAAATACATATATTTTGACCAGAATTTTTTTGTTTGTTTTTTTGTTTTGTTTTACATTTTAAGCAATTCATTAGAATCCCTGTTTGGAAAAAATCTCAAAAGTGTGAAAACAATCTCATCAAAATGACGGGAACTGATAAAACCTGAAATTAAAAGCTATAATCAGTGTTAACCAGTTTTATCTTTTAGTAAAATTGATTACTTACACATTATTTACATTTCATCTGGCAAAACAACCTCTTGTTAAATGATTAATGGGAAAGAAGTAAGACTTGTGGAATACTTTAAATACTGTATATGCTAATATACAAATTGTAATGTGTCAGGGATCCCAAGATTCAACAATATTGTTCACCAATATTCACGTTAGCAAAGTATTTTACAGCAATATCCACACATTGAGCATAGTTTTTCAATAAAATTCAACATAAATAATGAACCCCCACAAGGTTCCACGCATTCAGTTTGGATCTTACATCAAATTGCCAACCAAAATTAAAGTTCCTCATCCATTATGATATCTGCGAGTATACTGAAATCTTCATCATGTGTCTGACACCATCTCTCCATCTAGACTCATATTGAATCCTGAGACAAGAAACAGTTGATGTGTTTTCCCTCTGTGTTAGTCCTCAGACTTTGTGCTTTAATTTTCTAACTTGTTCTCTGTCGGTACAAATCAGCAACATGAGTGAAAACTCAAAATAAATCAATGCAGAAATATACAGACAGTCCTACGAGGGAGGTGACTTCATCTAGACACAATCACATAGATTGTGCTTCTGTGTTTTGTTTTGTCAAAGTGTTTGGTCTATTTTACGATTTTTTGAATTTATTCAGTATGGCTGTGGTGGGGAAAATTCCAGGCAACATCCAAATCCCTAAAAAGATTCTTCTGATATATGATGAATTGATGTATTTAACATATTCTGTTCTTAAAGCAAAACAGTTTGAAAAGCTAAGACTTGAATCTTACTTGAGTTTAAGCACATATCTGGTTGCTTCTGAATAAAAAAAAAAAAACAAAATCAGCAAAAACAGGTAATAGGTCAATTAAGAGAGTAGAGAAATAAGCGAATGCAAGCCATTAAAGAAATGCGGAATAATGTACAGCATTTAGGCACCGTAAAACTTAAATGGAAATTATCCAACAGCTTTGAAAACAAACATATCCAAGCATGAGTTGTCTGGAGAAGACAAAAGAATAATAAGTAAAGTAAAACAAATCATAAAGTGACGCTGAGGCAGCTTAAAATTGCATGTCCGCTGTCAAAAGTTGTCATTAAATGAAGGAAAAGAGTAACAGAAGTCTAAATGAAGTACTCTTTCTTTTCTTCTGCATGCACATGGTTTCCCTCAGCATTGATGATGGCTGTGTCTGCGTCGGGGGCATCCTCTGCTCCTTTGGCCTCGTGTGTTAGATACGTCCCTGTAGACATACAGAGCCACAGCGAGTTATCCACCTGCTGAATCGCACTGGACATATACATTTACGCCAAGCAAGGAACTTGTCATTAAAGGGAGCTCAAGTGACCTATTTTACCTTTATGTCTGGCCAGATATCGTCCAAGGACTATTATCAGACATAAGGTGATGAAGACCACGACTGCAACAACACCGCCGATTAAAGCGTGGTCAGGTCCATGTTGTCCTAAAGCATTAGGATCTGAAACAAAACAGAGACAGAGATGGAGGGAATGGAGGGCAAAGTGGAGAGACAAAATAACACCAGCAAGATGTTTCGCTGCTGTCTAATGCAGCTGTTGAGATTTATTAAAATGTAATCCTGCAATGGTCCTGAAAAAATCCAGATGAAGCTTTAACACGCGAACAAAGCACAACAGTCCCAAATGAGCTTCTGTCATATTTAGAGAAACATGACATTGCTGCTTTGAAGTGTTTGAATTGAGGTATAAAATAAGCAATCATAGGAAATACCACAAATCTCTGCAGTATTCAAAAATGTGCATTAGCAGCAACGTGCCGCAAGAAAACTGAAGTCTAGCTCTGAGTGATGTTTTAGGTTTTTTTGCCAAAGCCTTAACACATTCTGTCTTTTTTGCTTTCACTATGCCTGCTGCCACAGCAGCTGCTGCTGCTGAGGATCAGGTTTTAAAAATAAGTTTTATTTAATATGAAGCGTCCTCCGGGCAGAGAGCGAGCTGAAGGTTTGCAAGGCAGGAGCATGCCTTTGTCTCTGCTGTAATAAACTGTAAGTGGATGTGTCTTTACTGTGCACCTTGTGTGCTCTCATTATCTCAAGCTGATGAATGGCTATGGCTTGTGCTCAGTTTTGCAAAGTGACCCTGGGAAATGACGGCGGGAATGTTCCTACAAACCTCATTATACTCCTCTGCTAACGGAATGCAACCCTCATTTTCAGCAACCCAAAGTGTGGGACGTTCAAAATAAAGATGAAGTTGTGAAACATGCAGTTTATTTAACTCCATGCAGAATCGAACCACCACAATTGTTTTATCAGGGCCCCACAAGCCGGTGCTTCAGACTTTGACACAATAATTAGCTCAGTTTTGGTTGGATATCGATGGATATAATGATCTGTACAGATGATTCCACTGTCAACAAGGGGCATAAGCAATTTTCATATCATACTTGGCCGGTGCACACTGCTCACAGGAATGAAACAAGATGAATTGCTCTTGCTCACACTGCAGCTGAACTTGTCATCTTAACAGAACTTGCTACTTATTCTTTCACCTTGAGGTGTGAGTATTTATACTTGTCCAACCAAATATTTGAGCTTTGAGTCACATGTAAATACACAGATTATTCTTATGTCAATCCTGTAACAAAATACACAGAGGCAACAATTAACATCAATCCTTAAACTCTACACACTGTCACAAAAGGAAAACAACAGACATTTCAGCGCCACACAGGGACACCTTGTGTCGGTCCTGTATATATCTCACATATAAATTGCATATCAAACTAATTTGATGCAACCACATGCAATGCACAGATTACAACAAGAACGTACCTAAAAAAATATAAATAAATATAAATAGTTCCCAAGAATACCTTTGGACTTTCCCTTCCATTTCTGCTGTAATCACATGATCTGAAATCAAATATTTACACACCGGCACAGATACAATCTCTAGCCCAGCTCCACTGAGATAGAGCCATCTATTTCATTGTGCAAAGACAAACCAAACCAGAAACATATTGTGTGATAACTTATGCAGCCTGTGACATGGCTGGAGAGAAAGCAGCTGGTGTCAGCAGAGTGAGCATCCATGCATGGTGATGGTTTGGCTCATGCTGTGTGGAGGTCGTGATGTGTCCTGACCCAGATCCAGATCCAGCATCACACACTGTAAATCTGGCTAGCAATGATCATCTAATGGGATATTTACCTGTTGTAGGCCCTGGAAAGTCTTTGGCTGTTGCCATGGTTGCAGACAGTGACAGCAGTAAGGGAAGACGAGGGGAACAACACCATGATAAAAAGGTGACCACAAAGTTCAAAGGAAATATGAGAAATTAGCATGGTCTGTTTTTCTGAGTTTTTACTTTGACAGCGTGCAGAAGTGACTGAAAGCGAAGCTTGCCGTCAGAGCCAAACGCATGCTTAACTGGAGTAACTAGAAACAGTCACAAGGAGAGCAGCACAAGATACATCGACAATTACAAGATGAAGAATAAAGGTGTACATACTAAGATTTGTGGTGTGTAATTGACAGTGTACATCCTTAATAAAGATGGGTCAGTTGACCAAAAAAATAAACATATTTTTTCACTTACCACTAGTGGTGTAGCCATACAGATAGTTTTGGTATTTGCGCTTGTTGAAAGAAATCTGTCTAATAATTTGTAACATGTTACAATCTTAATTTAATGCTTTAAACATGACAAATGAAAATTCCATTCATCGCCATTGTTTTGGGGTGGAAGCATAGATCTTATTGGGATAGTAAAGCTCTATGATGTATAAGTAATAATAAAAATGCAGTCAAATGGCAAAGTTGTAGCCTTTATCGAAATGTTTTCTTCTGCTTCATTATGAGAGGCCAAGAGCTTACTGTTTAAAAGGTACCCTTTGGCATTTTTTTTTCTTTTAACCACTAGTAGTACTATGAAGCAATGTTTTTATGAGTGGGTTTTTATTGTGAGTGTGCACAGGGGACTTAAATGCTGCAATACACATTCCTGCCGCCAATTTCAAGCTATTCCACTGATTGACAGTTGCATTTCCAAAGGACAACTGCAAGCTGGTAAACAATGCACAATTTAAAATATTAAACCAAAAAAGCTTTGCAAATAATTTATGACGAAGAAAATGCATTGCAACACGTTTGTACCTCAAGGATACATATAATGCATTTTGGTGAGAAACAGTGAATATAAACATAACTTTTGTTTATTTACAGAAAAACTCCACAGGTCGACTTTGGTTGACCATCAAAGTGAAGTATATCCCAAATCTAAGTGACTGTTTTCTGCGTTTTCTTCATCACAGTCTTTTGACTGTCATGGCAACCATTTAGCATGTACTACCAGCAGAATGCTCTTGTGGCTCAATAGAACAAAGTCATACACAAACATTACATTTTGGTAAACATTATTCAAAGGTAAGTGCATGTGTCATTATTGTTTGGTTGTAATGGTAGATACCATTCAGCCTAAGAACAAAAGAGTATGAACTCATGAGTTTTATTTTCTGCTTTTGCAAAGATTTTCTGCTCTGTGAAATGCTTTACAAACAGTAACTATCACTTACTCTTAAAATGTATGCATATTATAAGTTAGCAATAATAATACTAATCAGAAACAGTAATAAAAATGCTGGTCAGGTAACTTTGCTGTGTATAAAAAATAAAGCAGAAAGCAAAGCAAAAATAGAGTATTGAAATCATGCAGTAAACGAATGCTATTTTCTAGCTCAAAGCCTGGTTGTTAGATCATCAATCATCAACTGTGTGTTCAGTGTGTTGTTTGTTAGTGCATGGAGCGTTGAGGTGGGGCCATGGGGGGGTACGAGCGTACCTGCGAACGCAACTGTGACTACCTATGCCTGATGCGGGAATGTTGCTTTAGCAGAAGAATAGAGGCTAGAGGGAGACAGAGGAGTAGTAGATGGAGGCACTAAGGTGACGGCGTCTGCTAAATGAAAACAGGAACAACAGGGAGCAAAAACAAATCTCTCCATGGGGAACAAGTTCAACATGCAAAAACTTACAGGAAAATCAAACAGCACAAATCAATTACTGCATGTGGCTGGTGCAGTGGGTTAATTCTGGCATTTTACCTCAGTGAATACAGGCAAAATAATGAAAAGAAATGCAAAGATAATAAAATAGAACAGTTGCATAAATGACTCAAGCTAAGAGTGAGTAAATTATTTCACTAATAACACTAGAAAAAGGATGAATCATACATAAAGGACTCATCAGCTGTTGAGGAGGAAATGTATAATAGACGAGTGAAATGTAAGGGTAAGAGGGTGAGAAGCAGGGCTGCAGCTACACAAACAGATGCATCTGTTACAATCTCTATTACATCTCACTCAGAGTAATTATCATATATGCCTTTTTTCTGCTTTATTTAATACGGTGTATTAAGGACCATAATTCCAGACATTGATGAATTGCGGCAGAGCAATGACATTTATTGCTGCTCAGCTCTCCTGTCATTAGCAAATTAGGCTTAGAGGCTGAGATGATCCGAAGAGACCCGGTAAGTATTCAGCCAGACACGGTGTAGCTCTGAAGAATGACTGTCATCATCAGTGGAAATGAGCTTGTCTCACACATTTTTTACCTGCTCGACTCAATTTTTCATCCTTCCCTAGCAACCAAGACTTTTGTATTTAGTGTGAGGGCTGCTAAGGCTTATACGTTTAGCTATTTTACTCTGTTAATCTAAAAAGTGAAAAACAGCTCCCTGGTATAACTCTAACAAACCAGGTTAATTCAACAAAATTAAAGTGTTTCTTTTTAATTTGAAATGTAATCTGACTGTGAAATGTGAAAAGTGAAACGTTGGTCCAGCACATGACTCCCAGATATGACAGGATGATATGGGGTAGCCTGACGTTATTGCCCACCCTTGTTCAATCAGCATGCTGAAAGAAGACACTAAGATAACAAAAGCGAAAAGAACAAATGAACATCCTCCTTTTCCTTCGTTTTTTACCAATGAAGGGCTTTCTCTCCGGAAAAGCCTTTGCCTTTAAAATCGAACGAAGAAGCTGCTGTGCATCCAATAACTGCTTGTGAGCTCGAATAAGTCCAGCGTCTGAGCTGTGATAAGTCGCTCCCAAACAAACCAAACTCTCGTGTGGGAATGTTTAATTGGCAAAAATGGAAACAAATAAATCCATGTTGAATTTTAATATTCTGTCCTTGTTTTTGTATTTTAACTTGGCTGTATTTGACAAACGTTATAAACATGTGCTGCATAGGCCTTAATGATCCGTTTCCTGCACCATGCTGTCTTTATTCTCTCAGCCGCTCCACTGTCTCAGGATTAACTTATCTCTCCTCCAGGCGGTACTCGGAAGCTAAATTCTGCATCCTTAACACTTTTTTCCCCTGTTTCCTCATAGGAAGAGTCCAAAAGTTAAACCTATGTAGCGATATGTACAGCACAGTTTACAGAGGTAAACTGGGTTATCCTACACAGTGCCAAGGCAAGATTTGGAAGTGAATTGGAAGTGCTAAGTTCAGTGCTAGTCCTAAAATGATGTTAGCCTTGATTTTATATTTGATCCACAAAATGAAACATATTTAATAACACTTGAAAATAAACTTACTATCCTTATTTTCACATTTGTGGTCAGATGTTGGAAGCCACCTGTTATTCTATATTTTATCCAATCCTGCACCTGGTACAAAATGCAATGCAATGTAATCATTAACTACAAATCACATATACTTCACATCACAGATAACCATTTGCATTCACAAATGGGTTCTAAGAGGTAGAGCATGTCATGGATTAATCTCAGAGTTGGTGGTTTGATTTACATGTCGAAGTGTGTTCGAAGTGTTCTTGAGCAAGACACTGAAGCCTAATTGGTGTGACCAAGAAGCTATTGGTATGAAAGTGTGAATGGGCGAACAAGAGGCAAATTGTAAAGCGACGTCAGGGTTTTTTCCTATGTTTCTAGTAGTAATTACTACTACTAATAACTACTATTGTTTTGTTATTGATTTATTTTCCACTGATTGAGGCCATGACGCCGATAGTGGTGCATACGGTTAAAGGGCTACCACGGAAACCCATGCATGTTATGGATTCACTGTGGTTGCGCAGTAGCATTTATATCACAGACACAGTACTTAAGTAACAGTCTTCTTGTACTTATTCACCAACTACCTAGCTATTTGGCACTCAGTTAGTGTGATGAACATCGTTTTATCAGTGCTCATCATTAGTGAACGACAACTCCGACCTCAGTAACGGAATAACTGGTAAATTGTTTGCTCTCATCTGTGATATTGTTAACTACTTTCTACCTGTAGGGCTAGTATAGTTTCTAGTCGATACATTTATTTTCCATTTACTGAGATTTATACCATTTTACCAGAGATTGGTTAAAGCCAACTTTTAGCTGGCTAGATGACAAAAGTTCACTTATTGAGAGGGCTTTGCTGCTTCACTGTGGTAAATTATGCTAGCTAGCTTACAGCTAGACCATCTGATACCTGTCACAGTGGGCTTTGGTCAAGAGATCTTCTGTGGACCCTTGTTGAAGATATACCAACAGTGGGCGATGTTTTTTTTTTCCAGCTAAACAGTTATTTTTACTCAAACTGTGCTGCGGTGAACAGTGTGGCTAAGTTACCAATAGGCCAAAATGTTAAGTACACATTGAATTGAATTGAATATCGTCCCTCTATGCAGGCTTTGGGTCATTATCTTTATAAAGAACACCAGCCATTTTTGATTTAGCACACAATGTGCTGCAAAGCCTTAAATATGAAGCAACAGAAAAACTGATCATCCATAACAAGACTAGCCATTACTGTACCCACCATATACAAACAGTACATATTCAGCACCGCTGGTCCCCAGGTGGTTGCTGGCCTCGCAGCGGTATGTGCCATTGTCTGTTTTGTTTAGTGTGGTGATGGTAAGTTCCCTGCCTTCCACAATCATACGCTCGATGTCTGGCAGCTCTCCTCCATCTTTAGACCAAAGCACTGGTTCAGGTCTGGGAAAGAAATCATTTAATATTATATATGATATTTAATTTTTTATCTTGCTGCTTATGATTCCCTAAATGTAAAGAAATAATTATTAGACTGAATAAATAGTCTTGAAAAATAACATTCTGTAGTCAAAAGAAATCACATTTCAAGTCTAATTTCTGTTCTATTTTCATGCCAGTTGATGCACCAAATTGAAGTTGTAAATAAATGCTAACTTACATTGGGTTGCCTATGGAAACACACTCCAGTTTGAAGTATTGCCCTTCCTGTGGAATAATCAGTGAATGCGTGATCTCCAGATGGGGAGCATCTGTGAAGAAGAGACGAAAAAATCCAAAGTACTCTGTGTTAGAAGCTTTAACTTTAACACTGTGTTGGAGGTTTTAACTCTAACACTGAAAAAGTATAACAGTAGTTAGTTCTTAACTCAGTGGGCAGCTCTTAGCTTTAGCCCATATCCCTGTTCTGCTTTGGTACTAATCCCTTACCTGCAAACTAATCCTACACTAATCCTGGGCAAATGCAAAGCTAAACCTGCAGACATAAATGTAATCTCATTCCTTGTTTTCTTCTCAATGCTAATCTTGCACCTAATCCAGCTTTGTGTGTATGACTGCACTCACAGTGGACCTCCAGGACCTCGGTTGTCATGTAGGGGTTGGAAAGAGACACATGCTCCACACTGCAGGTGTAAGCGACGCCGTTGTCCCGTCTGTCCACCTGGAACTGAAGGCTACTCCTCACTGTGAACGACTTTCCTGTTGCATTGACCTCTGTAGTGCCTGCAGAGAGTCAGTAAATGAACAATAAAAAAATTATTAAAATTATTGGGGAAAGGCCTTCAAGCAAATGTGTTTTTGAAAAAAAATGTAGAGAACAGAGCAGAAATCAGCTTGTATGTTAACGAGAACCTGAGAAACATCAAATTTTATTTCAACATGTTGCTTTTCTGACAGACAGTTGCAGTGTTGCTGTTGTTGTTTTTCTCTGAATCTCCTTTGAGGGAGAGAATCCTTGGCCTTTGAAAGTCAAGTCAAAGAGTGAATAGTGAGGGGAGAGCAGTATGAGCGTTGACTCGGTTGGTTGGGTGTGTTTGCTCCTCCAGGACCATCTCTCAAACATCCCAGTCAACACAAACAGGCACACACTCCCCTGGCAGTGCGTAGTGGATTTCCATAGTTGTAGTCACACCTTTCCTTTCTTTCCCTCCTTTGTCTTAGTTTCATGACCAAACATTCACCCTTTACACAGCTTCAGATCTTGATTTGTGTTTGTTTTTCCCTGCACTGTGATGTCGTCTTCATTTAGAGATGCCTTTTAACTTATAATTGGAAACATTTCTTTGTAGTTTGCTGCTGCTCTCCTGTCAATGCTTTGTGTGGTAGCGTCACTTTTCTCTGGAAACAGCTGTACAAGGCTAATGCGCCTGAACAAGGAAAAAAGGACAAAGGCATTACTTGATGACGGCCTCAGAAGGACTTTTCACTGGAGCTGCTACCCTCACTCACCCCCTTAGATCTTCTCCGCACTACATCCTCCCCCCTCCACCTCTCTACTCTCCCTGGACTTACTGCCATCCAGTGCAAACCCGAGTCAATCAATACATTCGTATGTACTCACTCCACTCCTTCACTCGCCAATACGCGCACACACACACACACACACACACACACACACACACACACACACACACACAATTGTTCAATCCCTCGGTCTATTAAATACTAAAACCCTTTGCAATGAAACCCAGATCCCCCATATCATTACTATTTTGGCCTGATATGACCCATTTGTTCCACTCCACTGATTATCTTTGATTTTGTCATCTGCAAGGGTATTCATTTTTTAGTGGAATTTTCAGTGGAACTACTACCATTACCACTACTTCTACTACTACTACTACTTCCACTGCTGGTACTTTTACTAGATATGACATTTTATTTTTTCAGCAATCTTTGAAGTGTGTGCTTCATTCTGGGTCTGACTATTAATTAAGTCTTTTGTATGCATGACACAAAAGTAATAATAGCATAATAGCAAGACAAGGAAGATGATAACTACATAAGAAGGAAGAAGAAACAAAAAATTGCCTTTTACATCCAACCTCATCGGCCTTCAGGACATTGCGCTCTTATTGATTAATGCATCACAAATATGACTATTTTTGACACCTAATTTTTTATTTCATATCATTTGAGTAAACAGGAATGTCAGAGGCCTTGCATTTGAGAGTCAAAGGCCATGCATTTTGCCCTGAAGTACAAAGGGGGTATAGTAAGTACCTCTGGTGCGTCAAACACAAATCTCTCTAGCTTTTCCTCTAATTCATCAAGTCGCCTGCAGCATCAGAGCTCCCATAGAGAAGCTGTCAGTTTGTTTCAAGGCGGCTTCTAGCATCGCCAGAGAGCATGCATGCGGCAGCTTTCATAAGAATGTGAATGTGCCAAGGTGCACCTGCTTTGAACCAGAACTCCAAGAGGCAAGCAGATCTGCATTCAAGCAACTGGGGGTGCTCCTGTAATCACCACCTCTGCATCTGTTTTAACAAGGCTTTCCAAAGTGTAGGCCTATTATAGTTTAATAAGAGTGATATTAGGGTTTAATTTTGGCTTCCCTTCAGATTATTATTGTTTTATGTTCTGTGGGTCAAGTTGTCTTCAGCTTTGAAGACATAACTGCATAACAGTTTGAGCCTTTGTTTATTTCATGAAGGCATCAGAGGCATTCTGTAATAGCACATTCACTTTTTACACTATTTCAAACTGTGCCGAGCAGGAGGTTCTGGCATTAAAAGAAGCACAGTTTGCAACCTACTGCCTGCTGACCAGTAATTACAGCCTAAAATGTTCTGAGAAATGTTATGTTTTCTTTTTCATTCCGTGACCTAATTTCTCTATTAATTTGCTGTTGAAAGCCTTTTAAATATAAACTCATTCACAAGAAAAAAGGCAATTTAGCAGTTGTTAAGGTCTTTAATTTTACATAGAAACTTGTTTCCTTAATGAACATTCTTGCACATTTAGTATTTTGGTGTTTGTTAGTTAGATGCTAAAGAGGCATAAGGGACATCCTAACAACTGCTCCGCTGGCAAATTTGTGGTTGGGTTCCTGTGTGAGATGGCAAATGTAGTTCATTTTCTACCAGTTTCAATCAATGTGGTCTTGGGCAGCGCACTATAATATCCAGGCCCTTAAACATGATTGGTTTCTAAATTTTATTCTACTAAGGAGAAGTGAGCGTACATCATCTAAAATAGCTCAAAATTACTTTGAGGTTCTACAACATATGCTGGTATATTCCTATAATGTGACTCATTTGTAAAATCCCTCAATAATTCGGCCCCCTATCTTAAAACTCAGAGAGTGGGTAAACAAAGGAACTATAGAAAACATTATAAGCCAGGGAATTGTGTGTTAAGAGTTACAGATGATAGGCTCATAATGGAAAAAATGTCAGGGTTAAACTGTGCGCAAATATGTGCAGCAACACATAGATCATTCCTGCTGCTGTTGGCTACAGGTACTCAATACAACGGACATATCATTCATGCTCATATACCCTTTTGTAGCACCATAATGAGCTCCCTCATGAAAGCGACACATGATATAATTTCGTATCATGGCCTTGATGAGGATGAGAATATTCAATCTAAAGAAGGGAAGTACAAGAAGGTAATCCTCTCAGACATAGAGGACAAACAGACAAATAATAAACAGACCACAATCCTGAAAACAGATGATGTCACATTCTGGTCAACACTGTCAACACTATGCCATACTGCATCTCATGTCTATGAAAACACACACACTTGCAGCTAGAGGAGAAAAAATGCCCTCAGGCCCATTATTCTACAATTAAAGTGGTTATTTATCAAGTTATGTAGCTGTTCATGTTGTTATGTTATGGTTTCAATCAACGCAACAGTTTAATTATAAATGTTAGAATAGTGTTTTTGTTACAATTGTGTCTAAACTATGACATATACTGTACCAGTTCCCCAGGTAGTTAACTTAGGCAAATAGTTGAGTTAATTAAAGCTATTCAATTAATTAAAACAATTAAATAAGACCTACACCCTTCTGAACAATAAATTCCCTATCCATATACATTCCATTTGTATAGATCTTGTTATGTTTCATACTGGAGATGATGGCGCAATGGATAAGACACATGCCAATCCCCCACTGTGACCCATGCACCATTGTGTCCCTGAGCAAGACACTTAACCCCTAGTTGCTCCAAAGGCATGCGACCTCTGCTATGTATAGCAATTGTAAGTCGCTTTGGATAAAAGCGTCAGCTAAATGAATAAATATAAATGAAATTGCTTTAATGAATAAGAGCAAAGTTAGTATAATATCATGCTATCAGTTTTGTACAGTGACACAGCATCAAACATATTCCAGATACAACATGAAGGCCAGAAGTTGTCTGATGACATGATGCACTGATTTGCATATGAAAATACTTAACCACAGCCCCCGCTTTTCGCTACATTAGATGTTGTGTATAGAAAACGCTGTGATCATCAGACGTCTTCAGATTAGAGAACCATGTAAGGCAAACATGAATCAGCTGGACCAATTTGATTCTTTGGTAGTAAACACTTCTTAACATGTTTTTAAACTGATTGGAGAAAGTTGCAACTTTTTGCCGCTGTTCACATTTGATAATTAGAAGTTGCAACAAAGTCGATATGTTGATGTGAGCAATCAGCAAACAGCAGAGAGAAAGAGATGTACAGTATACATCTGTAACGTAAGGGTGCAATATTGTTGAAATTAGAAACAAAAGTTTGTGATTTTTCATCTTTGTTCTGCTTGATCTTACAGAACAGGATGGGAGCCCAAATTCAAAATGAAGAAGCACACAGATTTAATGGGTCATTTCTGTATTTTTAAACCGGGTCACTATTTTCACATATTTTTGTGTTGCAATGACTAGTTGGTACAAAAAGTTTTGGAATCCATGCAGTAGATGGCTTCAAATGGCAGCCAGGAACTGGCTGCAGTGGCTGCAACGTATTCCTTAGGGGCAATTGAGCCCATCAAAATTACGTCCACAGGCTCAGACTGTTGTATGAGATGCCAAACAACATCATGGAAAGGATCCCTACGAGTCACTCCCAGTGTGTTTGTTTTTAACAAGAAGTCTCACTCAAGGAAAATTCTCGCTCTAAAATCTCGTGAGATGCGAGTTGTTGCAGGAAGATGATGGTGGAAATGTGAGTCCGAGTTGAAGAGAGGTGTTTGTTGCGTAAGGAAATAAAGTCTTGTTAGCATTTTCTCTATGTACACAACAAACCTCTCTCTCTCATTTCCACTGGTGTTTACTGCAACAACACGCCTCGCACAAGATTTAAGATCAAGAATTGTCCTTGAGCTAGACTTGTGTTCCCTTCCAATAGGCATCACCAGGAGCCACTCACAGGTATCCTTTACATAATGTTATTAGACACCTTGTATAACAGTCTTAGCCTGTCATTGGCGAAAAGAAGCATTTTTGTGGACGTAATTGCCCCAAAGGAATACGCTGCAGCCACTGTCGGCTGAAGCAATCTACTGCACGGATTCCAAACCCCTTTGTACCTACTAGTCATTTCAACACCAAAATATGTGAAAAGGGTCCCAAGGTTTAAAAACACCAAATTCAAAATAATATCAATAATATATATATTTATTGTCTAGATTCAAATGTCTTGATACCTTTGAGTCAGTGTGAAAGGAATATATAGGCCACTTTATGTATGCGAAGAAACTGACAGTGGGTGGATTTTTTTCCTCAATAGATTACAATTTGAAGCCTGGCTGTCATTCAGCGACACAAGTAATTTGTATGGCTCTATACACTGCAAACAAATTATTTGACATTGGATGACAGTTGCATTTTGAGGTTTGTAATGCTGTGTGCTTCTAATATAAATTGTTGAAAAACAAATCATCAGAGCATGAAATAAATATGACATGTTTTTGCTATTACACCTACTGTCATCTTGGAGCTTTGTAGACTGGTTCCCCAGTGGGGATAGATTTGACTGACAGCAGACACTGGCGGCAATGATCTACCGCAGAAGAACCAATGGCAAAACATGCTGCTCCCAGCACATACTCACTAAAGAAAGCTTTAAAGCAGCACCTACAAAAGACTTGGATTTGGAGCACTGATTGACATTCCTTCTCTTTGACACTTTGACATGGAAATGAAGTTTTTAAGTTGAGCCCTCCAGTCTCTGCTTTGTTCTTTTGACTTGGAGATGCATCACACCAGGTCTATTTGCCCAAGTGGTGTAATAAAACCCACCATACACAGGTAAAATGAATAAAAGCACATTTGTTAAGATACCAGTTAGGGGCAGATGTGGGGCATATGATGTTTTGTCTTTTTTTAGATATATGCAATTCACACATCACACATTAATGCCATTTCATACATCAAATATAAAGGTAGAGAATCTTTCTTTTGTTTTAATTTTCTTTCATGCATCTTTGTGATGCCTGTTAATCTGGGAATGAGAGGAAGGTATTACCATTTTTATTTTTATCCACAAAGGATGGAAGTTGAGTAATGAGTAAAATTATGGCACCCCTTGAACTCTGTTACTTTATATTGTGCCATTTGATTTATGTGCACATGTCCATATATGTTCAGCATATTACATTTTGAGCTTTGAGGATTTATTTTGAAGCATATCTCAACACACAAGTAAAAATAATAGATTATCTCAGTGCCTCTTGAGATGGACAGCAAGTCTGGATATGCTGTGTGCCAGTGCTCCACTGGCCTTTCAGGAATCTACGTGCATGTCATTTCAACAAGAAAACTTCATATCCCAGCCCCTCTCCCATCAATCATCATGCCATGTTGGGCAGACACAGACAGAACCACCAAGAAAAAACTCTCTGGTGCAAATCTTCAATAAAGAGCTACTGTCACACTGAGTCTCCACAGCAGGCTCCATTACATTAAAGAGCTCCACACAGCTTACCTCTGCCATCAAATTGAGGAAAAACATTCCATTCCTATTTCTTAATGTTTTTGAATGTTTTGTGCTTTTTAAAAGCAGAAATAAGATAAGTGATAAAAGCTACAAAAATACAAAGTGGAGAGCTTCAGACAGTTTGGAAAGAGGTATGCAAGAAAGTGAAAGCTTGTAAGACACACAGTGTGAAACCACAGAAAACTTCTGCTGGTTTAGTGTGATCAGCACACATTACCCTGCACCATCTGCTGCCTAATGCATTGTCTCTGTCATTGTTTTTTTCAGTCTGAGTGAAGCTAGTTACGTTGCCTTTCTGAGTTTGCATTATTGTGCATTCTTGTATCCTCCTTGACTTGTTTGACTAATCAAATCACTGTTGCTGCAACGAAAAAAGAAGCACTCTGCGGAAAGAACAGGAAGGCCAGCCAGATCAACTCATCACATGCAAACAGCGCTAATAGTAGTGCAGAGAATTTCAAAGCATGGAATACATTCAAAATGATCGTTTTAAGGTAAACAAATACATGAAGCACACAGCCTGTCACAAGATTATGAGCACAACTGCATGCTTACAGTTTAAGAGGCAGTTCCTCTCTAAGACAGTTTGGGGTGGGATAGCCTACCTCTAATTCCCCATGGCATACTTGACCAGTGTCGAAATGATTTGTCAATTTATCACTGAGTCGATAGTCAATCAACAGAAAAAGAAGTGCCAAAATTCTGGGGGGAAACTGTCAAACATTTGCTAGTTTCAGCTTTTAAAATGTGAAGATTTTCTACTTCTCTATTCTATTTCATTATAAATTGAAAACAAGCAAGAGCTGACCTTTTCATTTTTGATGATCACCTTTAGTATTCTGTGATTGTGTTTGTGTGATTGTGCTATTAATCAACCAGCTGCATGCATCAGCACCACTAACAGTGAAAACAGAATGCTGTGCAGAACTTGTTGTTGATGTACACTTTACAATTAGAATCAATACGATGCACTCCTATATGTCTTCACCTTGGTTGGGTAGTGAAATGTGGACTGCTCCGCCACAGTCCAGCAACATTTGGACAGCTTCCAACGATAGCAGCAATGCTGGCTGTGAGCCAGGAGAATCATGGAACTGCTAAACAGCGGCCAGCAGAACAATGCATGAATATGAGCACAAAAGAATGCAGCAGCTGAATGACTTGACAGTAATGATGTCTCCAAGAGGGTAAGGGAAGATACAATGCTCTGTGAAATCCACACCACATGCTTACCTTGGACCTCCTTGTTATTTCGGAACCACCGGATGTTGGCAGCTGGTTTGCTGCCCAGTGTGGTGCATGTCAGGGTGATTACATCCCCCTCCATGGCAGGCTTGGTGAATCCTGTGATCTCTGGTCGTCCTGGCACTCCTGTTGTGCATGGAAATATAATTATGAATAACATACTGAATACATTGATATGATGAGCTGAGTAATAACCCAGTAAGTGGTATAGGATGTATTCCCATGACAATAAAAAACACAATTTACTGACTGACAATAATTTACAGATATTCATGCCACCTTCTTCTTTCAGTGACAAGATCAAGTGTTACATTTGCTGTATATTAATTTTTTTTTTAAGGCAGGACAAAAAGAAACAACACAGAAAATGTAGGAGTATCACAATGAAACAGCCACCAAAATCAAAACAATAAGGAATTCTATGAAGCAGATGGTGACTACCAATAATTGGGAAACTAAATATGTACAATTTGTGTGGTTTATTAAATACAGTTAATAAACGCAGGTTTGAAAAATGTAGTCAGTAAGGGTTGAGTGGGATTTCTGCATATCCTTAAGGACACCTGTCTTAAATAGGTGTTGAGACACTCATTGAGCTTTTTGTGGCATTGCAAAAAATTAAATATAACACTACTAGCTTGCGAGCTTAACTGGCATCCTTTATTCTAGCAGACAAGGGTAAAATGTAATGCAGAAATGTTATTTTCCTACAGCGCATGCTGAAGAAAAACAACAGACTATAATTCAAAATGTCCAGGTATTCATGCTGTCAGAACATGAAGAATTAGCCACAAGTAATTGCCCTGTGGAGACTGGGCCAAAACAGAAATGCTCACCCAGAACAGTGAGAAAGGCCTTGGTGGTCTTGACAGGCATGGTGAAGAGCGAGCAGGTGTACTGGCCTTCGTCTGACAAGCTGACGTCACCGATTCTGATGGTGAGCTCCTGCCATGAAGCTCGCACCAGCTCAATTCTGTGGTCCCTTAGAGCTGTATAAGGAGGGATGGATGACACAAATAATCACAAAGCGCACAGAAAAAAAATGACAGAAACAAGGTTTACTAATAGGCAAATTCACACTAAATTCAGAGACGGCAATTCACTTGTAGAAGTACATTTTGTAATTCAGATGACCTTTAGCAGAAAAAGGGCGAATGCACTCTGCTTTCAGTTATTTCAAATATTTGTCAAATGCTGCAAACACATACTGTGGCCAATGGTTTGAAACATTTTCTTTGCATTTGCATTCTGGGGTGACAGTCTTATTCACAGTCAGTGAGAAAACAGAACACATTAGCGGGATGCACTGAAGCGTAACAGCAGAAAAAGCTTATAGTCCTAGATTACAATATCTATTTAGGTAATCACTTACATTCCAGGTATTGATTTACACTCACTTTAACACTTTTAGCAACTGGCTCTGCCTGTGACATTTCTCACTTTGAACATTTATACCAAAACCTTACTGGCTTAGAACCACTTAGCCTACAGTTACTGTGAAAAAAAATTAAAAAAAATTACATAGTGTATTAGTTCTGGGCTGACTAATAATTCAATATAATGTTTATTAAATGATATTGTATCATATTAATTAAATTATTTTTGTACACATTTCTGTTGTTAAAATTAAATTTTAGTTTAAAGAATTAATTAATAATAATTAATCAGTAATTAAAAATAGCTGCTACAGCTACACACAAATAAACCTCTACTTCTAATAAGATTCATGATAGAATAGTCATGACGAATAAAACCTTTCAGTGTGTTCTTAATATACCGCACACCTTCACTACTGCTCATTCAGTTGTGACTACAACCTCATAAAGCTGAGAAAACCACACAGCTAAGCTGAAAAAGGTCATCTTGCAGTTGTCATCTCTTATACAATTTCAAATTCAGAATCACCTGCTCCCACAAGCGACCAACCACAGAGGGCAGGAAGGAAAGTGCTCTTCATTGAATAAATTACACATTCTTAATCCCCACTCCCTTAAGGCCTGGCCAGCTTTCTCCCTGGACACTCTTTCATCTGAAGTAATTTGAATTCAATTGGATTGTACTACATGGGGCAAATCTGGCAGAACGCAGTAGAAGTAGGTGTTGATTTGGATTTAATTAATGTGGCAAATGTAAAATGGCAGCAGATAAAGAAGACATCTCTATGAAAATCATTATTCACCTGTTCTGTCCCATTTATTTGATATTAGTGATAAATATACAGCACAGACATGTGATACGCAATTCAAATAGATTGGCTGAAATGATTATTAGATTAACACAGACATAGGTCATTATCAACATACTGTTCTTCAGCTTCAATTACACCATATCATTTGATGATCATTATCTTATAATCACAGACACATAATAAAAAGAAAAAAATAAAGATTGGCCATAAAGATTTTGATGGCCCTAAGAAGTTTCTTATTAGTGACTCTTTGTTATCCAAGAACAAAAAGTAGTGTAAATAAAAACAATCTTCAAGCCAGAATTAAAATTTAATAGCAAGTTGTGCCATCAGAGAGCCAGCATATTATGTGCTATGGGGCTTAATCCAAACATTTGATAGTCTTACTGTAGCAAACCGCATCCTGAAACAAAGCTGCCTGATGTTCTTTGTAGTTAAGCATCCTCACTACAGAGAATGAAAATGCCCAGAGGCTCTGGTAGAAAACAGCAAACCCTTTGGTGGATGGATGCATTGGAGAGGTGATGGGGTCTAAGCAAACATCGTACAGGAACTAAGGAAGATATGGAAGTACAGGCTTAGAGGATCAAAGCTTTGGACAAGATGACATACTGTACTTCCCCTGACCCATATCCCTCTATCTCTGCAATGCACAGAGAAAAGACAGGGAGAAACAGACTCAGACTTTTCTTCTTCTTAACCCCTGTTCCTCAAAGCACAGACACATTTGAGATGCTGATAAATGTTCTGGCTGTTTCTTAAGAGGGATTTGTTAAGAGAAAACAGACATATTTTGGTTAAAGTAATATTCCGCCCACAATCTGTAGGTGTAAAAAGTGAAAAATTTGCTGTTTACTCAACTGATCAGTTTGATTTTATGCTACAACAGATTTAATGTGGACAGGATTATTTGGAGAAAAAATTATATAACCAAAATGCTCGTGGAAACTTCACAAACTACTGTAGCATGATGAACTTTTCTGCTGTCCATTTAGCACCATTGCTACCTTCGATGCTTAATGTTAATGTATTTAGCCATATTTCATTAAAATTATGACTGTTTAGAAAACACTCAGCATATGGTTGGATAAGAAATGGATTATGCTGCAGGAGTGGTTCTAGAAAGGTCTTTGGACTTTCTTTAAATGTGTTTGCTGAAACGCATTGCCTTTCAATGCATTGCAACTACCAAGAAATCAACCTGACTGTTCTCTGAAATTAAAATGACCTTTTACATTTACAGTCTGTTTCTCTCAACACGTAAAGTGTCACTTTAAATACCAAAAAAGTGATCAAATACAGTCCAGACCACTGATAGTTTCCAGTGACATTTAAAGTACCAAGTAGGCTACATGTTTTCTATCTATAGAACAATATCACATTACCATCCATACACATACAAGTACATTTAACTGTCAGTTGCTGAAATACTGTTTCAGATATTTTGAAGTAGTGGCTGAGAAAAAACTAACAGTTAAATAAAAGATGGACTTGACTGATGCATTTTTGTTAGACAGCCACTGGCACTACACAGCACGTGAATCACTGACATATTGATAGAATGAGATGTACAAAGGTTTGAATAACCCAAAGACAAGTGTTATCTATTACTCAAACAGCATATGGCCAGGAAAACCATACTACTAGATTCCAATCCAGGCTAGAGGCCCAGATTGTGGTCAGATTCGTCACAATCAGACCCAAATGCCAGTGGCTGACAAAGCTTTTTTCCAGGTGCTTTAGGAAATCAATGTGATGAAAAGGTTCATTTCCCCCAAACCCTAGATAGCTCCTGCGCTGTTCATTCTGCTTAGGAGGAAGCATAAATCTGCACCCTGACCTTGTGTATGCTACAGCCTTGCAGCATGGCAGCTTAATGTGCAGTACATCTCCTGTGATGGAGGCCTTACCAAGGCTGTCTCAAATCAGTAAAACTGACACCGCGGCTCCCCCCCAGGGCAAGGCATACTGTTGTATGGTCCTTTGATGCAAAGTAATGTTTGTCTTGTTTCCCTGACAGTTTTGCACGAACAACCATGTCAGTGGAAGACCAGTCTGAAATCTCCCAAGACAAGTGTAGATGTAGGTTTGTTAGATTCAGTTTTAACAACGTAGGTCAATTTTGCTAAATGTTACAGTAGCTGGATGTACTGTTCCACAAATGGTTTTAGAAGAAACAGCTGTTAAAATGACTTATTGTAATATGGTGCAATGTTTTAATGTGTAAGAGAATAGCTTCCAGTCTAGTTGGTAGCTACATTAGCTCTGTCCCCAGATGAAACTGGAAGCAGAGGAACTCTGAAGTACACTTTTTACATGGCATTCACTTCTACACTCCACTGAGCAGCAGACAGATGTTAACCAATGTTTTTAATCCAAAATGATGAAGTATCTCCTGACAGTCCAGATAGAAAAGGACATTTTACATCTATCCATTAGTCTTGGAAACAAGCCGATGGCTCTCGGGTTCAGCCAAAATATGTTACATCTGCAATACCGAGTGTCCCCATTTGGCCATTTTTGCATGGCCTGTAACCACTTTGAACCAGTCCTGGAATGTGAAAGCACTAGCTGTCCTTCAGCGAGAACACAGGGTCCTGGCGCACCCCCCTACTCTCCAGCCAGGGGCTCCACTCTTTGCAATTAGAGTGTGTTTGCTACTGGCTGTGCGCACTCAGTGACTGTGTGGGCGATTGTGGACATGTTCCAGGGCTAGTGGTGCAGGCAGGGGGCTCTTTCCCACCACACATGTGGCTGCAATTAAGAGAAGGAAAGGGCCTTGTTCCAGAGGGCCATTGTTACTGCCTGTGCTCTCAGAGATCCCACAGAGCAGATGCTACTCAAATTGGGCTCATTTTCAGTGCTTGAAGGACGGAAGGAAAGAAAGGAGGAATTCTCACAGCAGCTACACTACGTCTCTTCAAGTGGTGAATAATGACACTGAATATATTTTTGTCCGTCCATTTTTCAACCCACTGACACAAGCTTGATTGTACACTGTGGGATTTTTGAGTCCCATTTTTACATATGAACTCTCTAAATTAATTTTTTATTAAAACAAGTGCCAGTGGGGTTACATAATTATGTTGGTTTTCAATGCAGTTTTACACATTTCTGGATTTGTGAGCGATATTACAGTACACACATAAAAATGACTTAACCCCTGTAAAAGGATCTAAACATTTTTCAGGAAGGTCTCAAACTTCATTTTCAACATATTTCTATTTCATTGTTCTATATAGCTAATATATATTACCCATGAGAGTGCAGTGTGGCACAAAGCTAAGTATAGTACATACAAGAGCAGCTCTTCACATTAGTGATAATAGCCTGATGTCATAATGGTAGATTCACATTTCAGTGAAGCTGGAGATAAGTCTTGTAAGAACAAACCAGCATCACTTCAGAGTAAGAGATATCCTGAGATGTCTGAAGAAAATCTGCAAAAGCCTCACCTGAGATATCCATTAATGAAATCAACTTCATGGTATGTTTAAGTCTTACACATTTTTTTTCTCTTTTAGTTTATATATGTTTGTCAACTGTATTTGACTTTTTTCCTTTTACACTTTCCTCTTGCTTTCCAGATATTTTCATAAAATAACAATACAAAGGTAAATCCAAAATAAATAAAAACAAGAAAACAACAATAACAATTACATTTAATTAAATTATATAAATAACAATAATTATAATAACAACAATGAGAATAATGACAACAACAACAACCTGAATATGACAGTTCTTGTCAATTTCAACCGAAGAATAGATTTACACACTGAGACAGAGCTGAGGTAAGTGTCCGCTACACTATGTTCATCACTACACCATCAAATGTTGTGTGTTTACTAGAATGGACGTTTAAATGTGCTTTCATTGGTGCTCACTCCAGTAATTGCATCCTTGGTAATTATCCTTCATTCTCTCAAGCTAATGAATGTTTTAATGCTCACATTAGAGCATTAATTTAGCACATAACAGCATTTTGATTACTACAAGCCAATTAAGATCAATTTTGCTTTGTGACCTTTATGATCCAGGCTGAATGCCCCAATTAAATGTCATGAATAATGAACCATGAATGTCTGAGAGATGGAATTGAGATGAGGAAATGAGACACACAATTTGTCAAAGCTCGAATGTATATGTTACATGTCTCCATATCTTTGGTACAAACAAATACTGTAGATCAAATGATCAATTTGTTATCTGCAGTATCTTCCCATTAATTGTATTATTCATATCACCGTGTCTGACAAAAGATTCGACTTCCATCCTGCATGCCTCCAGGAATGTCAACACCACTCTCTAGCATCACTACTTAGGTTTTATCATTTTCCCACAGAAGCCAAACGTAAATCATAATGAAGACAGCAAAGGACAGCTCTGGTCTCATTTGTCCTGCTCAGTAATAATAATTCATAACCCCAGCAGCTTATAAAAGGGATAATTCTACAAAAGACATACAGTATGGCCCAAATCGATTTCTTCATCGTGGCAGACCACCACAGAGCTGCTCCCTTCAACAGCCCCCGCTAATTGGTCTAATGTATGAATGATGTGTTGGCCTGGCTATTAAGGGGATCCATCTCTGCTGCCTGAGGTCTGTGGCGGTAGTGCGTAGGAGTCTGCAGGCTGGACTTTGCCATAGTGTAGTATGAAGCCTCTGAGGTGGCAACAATCAACTAAGACTCAGATACATAATGGATGAGGAGGAGTGTGCCAAGGAACCAGCTGGCATGATATAAGAGGAGGGCTGTGTTCAGCTTTAGACAAATGTGCAAAGACAGTCAAACCCATATGGATCGGCTTTGGGAACCCAGCAAGGTTAACAGTCTCTTGGAGTTCCACAAGGTTTGACTGAGCCTCTTATGGGATAGGATGAGATAAAGGTCTCTCCTATCATTTAAACTGTCAAAGATTTTTAAACAATTGAGCTGTCACATGCCCACTATTTCTTTCTCACCTGCAAGCACATCTCTTATCCTCCTTCCAGGTCTGTCACAAGACGTGACATTGCTGTGTAGACAAATTATAGGTCACAACGCACTGCTGGGATTATGTTTCACCTACCTACCTGAGAACTCCCAGTGGGTTCATAAACTAATAGTGCACCATTGTGATCCCTCCTTTTTTGTATGTTGCAATTAAATGAACAGAAGATTAATTTAATGACCTATGGTTTTGTTGTCTATAGGTGAGTAAACCAAAGGCAGAAGTACTGTGACATGATGTTGGGGTCAATGACTGAGCATTCATTTTCTGTCCCCTACCAACTGTCAATATCATATCTTTTCCTGATCTTATCCAGGTAGTTTAAATGGCCTAGACATAGCCAAACCTTTACCATAGAGGTAGACGATGCACTGACAAACAACCATTATGTACTAGGACTTCCATTACTGGCCCTCATGTATGATTAATAATATATGTTTGCTGCAAAAGATACACATATTGTAACACTGGAGCATTCAGTGTGCATTCAGTGGTATTCAGTGTCTTTAAAATTCAAAACACACAGAGATCCCTTTCTCCTTGGCTGTAAAAGCTACTCTTTGGGGCTATTTTCATATTCTCATTTGTCAGACCTGAATTAAAATGGAAAAAAATTATTGTCAGGGCAAAGATCAGATTTTGTCTAACTTTACCCAGCAGCTGTCTCAATTGATATAATAAGAAACTTCAGCCTCTTTACAGATAGTTCTCTTTACTCCACTATAACTGCTCAAAAGGATTTAAAAGGTAATAATTTTATATATATTTTTTATTTTTATTTTATATTTAAATGTCCTTATCTTTAATAAGGAGGTTGATGGAAAGAGCAAGAGTGGATTTTAAAAAATGCCTCACAGTGCATTTTGTCTAATGTTAAGACAACAGCAAATGTATTTTTATCATCATAACTTGTATGTGCTGAGCATCCGGAATCACACATAAAAGCTGAATCTCCATTGGATTACACATGCACAAAGACAAACCTTTGTGAAGAGTGAGTGGGGGAAACTTGCATGTGTTTCAAACAGTAACATATGGCCGTGCTGTCATGGACACCCAAGGGAATGGTAGTAAGCAGAGAGATGGACAAGACAGACAATGGACAGAGACAATAAGCACAGGGAAAAAGACATTTTTCTAAACAGCAGGTAAAAAAAGATACCAAAACATCTTGAACTGCATTAAACTAATCTACTCACTGACAGCAGTCTATGACCAGCTGTTCATCAGAGGGAGAGAACAGCCTGCCCTAAAGCTCAGCCAGTCTGCAGTTAGTTGTTGGACTGAAAGGTAGCATAAGGTTGAATCTAACATTTTTCATTGGCTCCTACAAGAAGGCACAACAAACGGTGGAAGAAGGACAGTAGCAGCCCTCTGCCAAGCAATTAACTGGTGATTTGGCACAGCAGAGATTTCTTCCCAGGTGTCCCACCCTCTTCCTCGCATGAAGCTTGTGTTGTTCCACACCTCCCATTTCTCCTGATGGCCTCACAGGCATCGTATTAGTTGTGCCAATAAAGCTTTTCATTTGGCTGTTTAAAAGGAAATGGAGAGGAAGTGTTCCCACACTTAGCCCTGGCAACCTCTGCTGAGTGGACTACATTCATTTTGTCATCCGTATTGCTCTGAAAAAGGATTCTGTCATGCAATATAAATGGCTGCCCAAGAAGGGCAAAGTGGCTCATACATATTGTGCTCTTCAAGCTTTCCTAACATGCATATAACAACAGCATTCTGGGAATACATGTGGACACAGATTATTGCTTTGTATTCACAGGAGATCAGAAATGTGAACAAACCACAGTTAACTAGCTTCAGGCAAAATTAAATAACCAAAAGATAAGATTTAAATGATTCATCATGTGTTACATCTCTTTAAAGTACAAAGAAGCGAATGTTTTTGGGTGTTTTCTGATATCAATTTTAAAACTAATATTTCACAGGGAAAAGGTAACAAAAAAGAATGGATGTGGTTCATTGACTTTTGCTTGAATTCAAATCCTTTGGTCACATGCACACCACTCACACAAGAGTATCTATTTAAGATTCAGTTAACTTTCGTTTAATTGTATTTGGAAGTAATTTCATCTAATAAAAACACCTTACACCTCATTATTAAATCCAATCACTTGTGAGGGAGAGTGTATTTCTTCAAACCACACTGTGACTCTCATTCTGCTGGTTCACTCTGGCGTCTCTCTCTCCTATCAATTGTAATTCAAATAGAAAGCTAATCTTCAATCACTGAACCAATGATATTGTATTAGCAGCTACAGCATAAATGAAATGGGTAATATGCTGTGAGAAACACTGAAAGATGGACACCCCAACCCTTACAAGACCAGTCCACTGTTATATTCCCTTTCACCCCAATTCCAATTTATCAACTCCAGACTCTTGTCACCTTTATATTGGATTTGGCTGGTGAGAGCACATTATAATTCATTTTGGCTCGCGCCTTGTTTCACGAGGTTGCAACATTGTGCTTCCTTGTCAGTGACATCCAAACAGCTATACAAATGTAGGGCAGCTAAAATGCTAATTAAGCCCAATCATCTCACAATCCACAGACGCTACTGGGTTGTAAACAACACTGTCAGTGTTGCATGATTACAAAAGTTCAATTCAAAAACAGTCTATTTCTGTTTAGTATGTGCCCTAGGACATCAATGGAGACATAAATTCATTAAAAGTCTGCTTTGACATTACGAGTAATGTATTTCCCTCTTATTCTGTTTTCTTCCTGTATTCATTCAAATTGTGTGCTCACAGGCTGGCAGGCAGGGAGAACTTTGCACATTCCAAACTTGGGATAAAAAAAATTAAGAAGACGACTCCTGTAGTAACATAATCTGGATAAGACATCATATTTCATCATTTTATCATTACGACCATCATCCCCAGGAATATTACTCACCTTTCTTGTCCCCAAAGAATAGGGTCTGTTGTGCAGGATTTGACCACTGGAGGGAAGTGTTATCATTGTAATCCACACGACAGGTCATGTTGGCCGTGCCCCCCTCCACCACCGTCACATTCTGAGTTATGGGGAACTGACCTTGGCTACCTGTGGGATTATGAGACAGAGTTTGAGGTCATGGCCGTGACATAAATAGACTGCTATTTTGTACTGGTTGTTACTGTCTTTTCATTGAATCACATTAATGTACCATTCAGACTTGACACCTTTCAAAGTTAATGTTCTGTCATCATACAGCCCAATTACCTTAATGTCTTCATTACATCACAGTAAAGCAAAGATAGCTTAATGGAAGTCAGGTTGACATGGACTCTAGCCTTCGACAGCTGTTGGAGCTAGAAAACAGTGGGGGTTTTTTCACAGTGGAAACAATGGTAGGTTTTACTCTCCCAGAGCGCCTTCCTTACTGCCTTATTGCAGGGCCCTAATTGGTAGCATGGCCTAATTAGAGGTAGTCATGTTCTGCTGTAGTCTAGAGCTGCAGCTGGGTGGTAAATTGACACATAATCCTAGACACTGTGGGCCTTCGATCCGAGCGACTGCCTTGCCCTGAAACAGCCGCTCGTCACAGTGTGCAGAAGACATCCAAATGAGGCCTTATCACCCAGCCTTGCTGGATTGTACCTTCTTATTCCACATTTGTACTTGTCGTCTCAGCAAAGTCCCCTAATTACATTGCAGAAGCGTTTCTATCCTGCCTGTGTTTTACTGAACCCTGCCAAGCTTCAGAAACAGATGTCTAAAACCAATATTCTTGTGAGGAATCATGAGAAGACAAAGTGTAGGCTAATATGAGCCCGACCAGAGTGGCCCTTTTATGGATGACAACAGTAAACAACAACTGTGTTGAACTTGAGTTCATGCATGAAGCTAAATGTGCTGTATTTGCCTGGGAGCGTTTCACTGTCCACAAGCTAATCTTTGTGCATGTTGTCTCTTGATTTCACATTTCTGCTTTGTCTTCCTCTTGTAACGTGCCTGAATGTGAAGGTGACATTGTCTCTGCCTCTCCCAGGTACAGTTCACCACGGGGACATTTCAACTAAGGGAGCAGCTGCCTGCCTCATTAGTCCTGCTCAAATGGGGAAGCAGAGGAGGCTGGGACAGCCAAAGGTCTGTGGACCTTCCTTGACCTCGACTGTCCTGATGGAGACCATTGTCAGTTAGAGGTGAAGGTGAGGCGGACTATAAATAGCAATGGGACAATGATTTCAACAGTGCGCATTACTTATCTGCTCATTACACCCAATCACACAATATCACATCAACAACCATGTCACCATCACAAGCTAGGTAGTACACCAAACCAGCTATACACGTCATATTAAAAATGAAAATGAATGCGGATGCATTGTATGCCGGTACCATGTGGAGGTTTTGTCAGTTCCTGCATGACTTTCATTTTTTTGTCATTATCTACCCCACCATCTCTCTAGTATCTTTGCTGTCTGTCTCCAGTGTATACTGCTCACTATTCACAGAAATGCTATGAAAAAAAGTTAAATCCAAACAGTAATGAATAGAACTCTCAATCCCTCAGGTTTTACCCTGGTTGAGGTATGTAGAATTGTAAAAACCCTTTGCTGAAATACCTTTAATTTGCCTGCAAGGCCAATAAAGGCTGTTCACATAATAAGTACAGGTCGTGAGTGTTGTTTTAAAATAAGAGTCATTGCAGGTTATTGTTTTTTTTTAGTGTACACAATTCTGTCTTGACATTCTGTAGCAGAGTGTGGCAAATACTGCCCTTTTTGTGGAAACATAATCCCCAGCGCCATTTACAGTGTTTGTTTGTTTTTTGAGATGTTGATTGGAGGGTGGTCAGCGTTACTTCTACAGTACAGTGCCAAACTATATTCTAGAAAGTCTGAACCGCAAACTGTTCCAAGGACGCTACATTGTGCTGTGTGTCCATATACATTAACCTCACTCTAAAGAAGCATAATGTTCAGGTGTGTGTGACAAGGAGAGATTTTCCACAACATGTTTAACTTGTAGCACATTTTTGTGTGACTTGTATGACAAGTCAAAATTACTACTGGGAAAAAAGGCCTATTAGTTTTATTGCACCTGTTATGGAAAGTCATAGTAGTTATATCGTTGATTTTTTTGAATGAGTGAAACAAGACATAACATGCATTTGGTACATAAAAAGGTTTATAGAGTTTGGTGACCTCGTAATCCCATTGAAACTCCTCCAAACTTTAACCTGACCAGAGGTCTAACTAGCTACATTAAGACCTTGGGTGTGCGACTTTAACGATTGGTGGAACAAGTGTGCAAAACTTTGCTAAAAATCAAACCAGGTCGAGCTGTTTTTCAAGCAAGCAACACATTGCTTTGCCAAGATAGGACATCTTCATTGGGAAAAACTGAAACAACGTTCTCTCGTTCCAGTTAAGAAGCTGTGCTACACTGCACATTTATTTACAAATAAAAATGATGACATCAGAATAAAAAAAACACATTGACATCAACAGTAAATAAACAATATATAATGTAGGCAAGGAAAGATGCAATAAAATCTTCTAGGTAAAAGTGTAGATTATGTATAGCCATGGCTGTGTTTTCCTATAAAAGCAAACCCAGTGAAAAGGAACAAACTCTTCTGAGAGAAGTAAGTAGTAGGTATAAAGGTTGTCTGCTTCACTGATGATCCAAGACGACTCAGTGAAGTGCAGTGATGAAATGAGGAATAAACCTGCACTTTTGCAATATGCCTTAGGGGAGGATAGGACATCGTTTAAGCACAAAGCATATCATCTCTACAGGCTAAAGGACTTCAACATTGCTGTATTCTTTTTCCAGAGCTTAGATATATTATACTGAATGAATGAGAGGGAACTACTTATTTTCAGTCAAGGCCAGCTGCAGGTTGACAGCTTGCTCATACAACACACAACATGCCTGCCATGACAGCAAATAGGTGAGGTGAGGATTGAATAACCCAAGATATTTTGATGAAAGTAGCTGGCACCCTCTGAAACACGAATACCATTAGCTTTTGTTGTTCTCATGCCGGCGACTCTCCTTTAATCCATGGATATCATGAAGTGCTTTAATAAAGAAATTCAACATGTGTCACATCAGTGTTTCACTCTCCCTTTTTCCAATCCAGCCTCCTTACAGCTTCGCAGAAAGGGAGGTTAAGATAAAAAATATGGAATGATGAACTCTGAACTGAAAATGAACTCATTTTCCCATTAAAATTTAATCAATTAAAAGCCAAGCTTTTTATTGTTTTGTTTTTGTGTGTATGTGCTTTTAATCAAAACATTTCCAACATCAGCCTGCTTATGGGCCTAACTCTTAAAGCTATAATTGGTCCCTTGGCAGAGCTTTCCCCTTTCACACAGTTTTTTATGACAGTAACATGGACCTGAGATCTGCTGGGGTTTTTTTAGTGCTAAAGGAAAGAGCCCACTCCAGTGAAAGCTGAAACTGGCAATATCACCCTGAGCTGGGAGATTATGGTCCACATTCAGGTGGGCCACAAGCACACTGATCATCAGTCACAATGTCAGCACACACAAGATTAGTCAAGTTGTTTGCTGTGCTTCACACTGTCAGAATGTTGCTGACACATCTCCCCACTGTGACATAAACTTTCATACAGATTCAAGTGACACTGCCTCATGAATCAAATATTTACCTGCACGGCTGAAATTAGGTAGACATGTAAATGCGGGGAGAGGATAGGATCTTTATTGTAAACACAAATATTTGATTATTAGATTTTAAAGAAGAAGCACAGAAACAGATGTCTGCTAAAACCCAGACTAGATGTAGATGTCTGCTCTTCATCTCTATACATTCTGGTGTTTGATGAGATCTGTGCAGCAGGTGTATAAAAATGAATACAGATGTTCAGAATGGCTTGCATTAACGATTAACTATTTCATTTCATCTCAACCAGCCTCTCTTCATGCTGTTATCAGAATGCAGCTTAAACCGTACCCTGATGGAGTCTGAGTCTGACAATATTAGAAGCCAAGAATATGATACTTAGGTTATTGATTTTGCAACTCTTCTGGTCTGGGTGGGTATCTAGCAGATATAAGAAAATGAGGGAGATAGAAATCTTTATGACTGTACTTAAAGGGAAGATTAAGAGAGTTAGCTGCTGAATGTAAATGGAGGGCTTTATCATTATTGATGATGTGGAAATCTTTTGGTTCTGTTTTGATGCGATACTCACGGAAAATCATGGCATGCTGGGATACCAGCTCTGAAAACCAGATAATTTGAGAACTGTGTTGCATATATCATTTCACTGATTGGTCTAATGACCACTGATCCAGGGCATAAGGTGAAAAATACAAGGAACATCTCTGTTGAGGAAAACAGAGAGTTAGTGGAGGAAGAATGAGCCATACCACCCCAAAAGCCTTTCTCAGTTTCAGCTGACTGCACCAAATAATGGAAAGCAGTGCCTTGATGAATGGCTGGAGAGCAGTCAAGCACACCACTGCAGAATAAACTGTAAACTGCAGGCAGGATAAAAAGAAAACAAATAACTCATAAAATAGTTCAAGAAATAGACGTTGCCTCCATTCATTACAGAATAATAACAATTATTAATTTTCATATGAAATAAATTCCAGGCAGTTTATCAAACCACCAAGTTCACCTCTGGTGCTTGATTTTACAAGGGCTCCTTTGCAAATAGAGACATTGGAGATGCTGAGCTCCCGTCTGCATACTAATGAGTTATAGCAACTTCATACAGTACCAATGACAAACTGCTGTATAATAACATGTCTACAAATCACATATGTATTAGAAGTCTGACATGGATTTGTTGGTATTGTAATGTAAAGGCTGCCAAAAAAATATGATTTACAAATTACTTTTATCTACACAATTTCCAAATTTTTGGAAGGAGATAAAAAAAAGGTTCTTGAATGTCAAATATGTAAATTATTGCAAAACTTTCCCAAACAAAAACAACAAAAACAAAATTACATTTTTATAACTAAAACACACACAATAAATGCTGTGAAGCTGAAAACTAAAAGTTTGAAAATCAAAATCAAATGTCTTGCCTTAATACTCACAAGGTATCTAAACAGACAATAACTCTTGAG